AATAGAATAGAATAGAATAGAATAGAATAGAATAGAATAGAATAGAAGAGTTAGAAGGGACCTTGGAGGTCTTCTAGTCCAACCCCCTGACTAGGCAGGAAACTTTATACCACTTCAGACCAATGGTTATCCAACATCTTTTTAAAATCTTCCAGTGTTGGAGCATTCACAACTTCTGGAGGCAAGTCGTTCCAGTGATTAATTGTCCTCAATGTCAGGAAATTCCTCCTTAAATTCCAGGTTGCTTCTCTCCTTGATTAGTTTCCACCCGTTGCTTCTTGTCCTGCCAAGAGGTTGGACGACCATCTGTCTGAAATGGTATTGTCAGGTTTCCAAGTGATGACATCCATTGAAAAAGATACACATATGTCAAATTCGGGCTTGACGGACATAAGGTTTCCTGCCTGGGCAAGGAATTGGATCGAAGACCGCCAAGGAGGTCCCTTCAAACTCTCTTATTGTGTTGTTCTATAGCAACAATTCGTTTAACGACTATTCCAAGTAATCATGACACTGAAAAAAAGTGACTCGTGACCATTTTTCACAACTATCACCTCTGCAGCATCCCCAGGGACACATGATCAAAATTTGGATGCTTGGCAACTGACTCGTATTTATGACCGGTTGCAATGTTCCAGGGCCACGTGATTCTTGTTTGCAACCTTCTGACAAGGAAAGTCAGTGGTGAAGCCACACTTTGCTTAACAACCATATTGCTAACTTAACAACATCAGGGATTTGCTTAACAACTGTGGCAAAAAAAAGGACATTGAATGGGGGAAAACTCATTGAATGACTACTTTGCTTAGCCAGATTCCAACTGTGGTCATAAGTCAAGATACCGGCTAGTTCTTTCTTTCATTTTACTCTTTGGAAAACCAGGGAGGGTCTGTTCAGAATTTTTTTCCCATGACTCCTCACTTTCCTTGGGGCAATTTTACATACTGGTTGCCCACCTGTTGTTCTCTCTTCTGTCTCCCAAGGACATTCATGCACAATATTACAAATTCAGACATATTACATGTAATCTTTGACTTCTAATGGGTTGGGCTGAGAAAGAGTAATTGGTCCAAAGTCACCCAGCTGGTTTTCATGCCTAAAGTGGGGCTAGAACTCACTGTCTCCAAGTGATTGATCAGAATATTGCTGGAAGGGACCTTGGAGGTCTTCTAGTCCAACCCCCTGCTCAAGTAGGAGACCCTATGCAATCTGAGAGAAGTGGCTGCCCAGTCTCTTCTTTAAAATCTCCAGTGATGGAGTGCCCACAACTTCTGGTGGCAAGCAGTTCCACTGGTTAATTGTCTTCTCTGTTAGGAAGCTTCTCCTTAATTCCAGGTTGCGTCTCTCCTTGAACAATTTCTATCCGTTGCTTCTTGTCCTGCCTTCTGGTGCCCTGGAAAATAAGTTGACCCCCTCTTCTTTGTGGCAGCCCCTCAAATACTGGAATACTGCTATCATCTCACCCTTAGTCCTTCTTTTCTCTAGATTAGCCATATCCAATTCCTGCAACCATTCTTCATATGTTTTTAGTAAAAAGAGAGTATCTGTAGCTCAGAGTTCACACGAGAGGTCCTTGGTGGATTAGCACTAATGATGTTAGTTTGGGTAATGAAATATCTGCAAGAAAACAAGCAAGCACCAGGGACCCCCCAATGTTGTCATTCTTCAGGACTTTGACCATTTTAGAGTTGCCCAATTGGCTTTCGTGCCCAAGGTGGGACTAGAACTCCCTGCCACCTGGTGATTGGCTCAAAGTCACCCAGCCATCTTTCATGGTTAAGATGGGGCTAGAACTCAGTCTCTTGGTTTCTAAACTGGTGCCCTAACCACCAGACCAAACTGGCTCATGTTGTGTGAACGCTGTATCTGGGTTTCTTTTCAGGTATGGCGAATTGAGAATCGGGAGATGGTTCCAGTTAATCCGAAGACTTATGGCCAGTTTTATGGGGGTGACTGTTACCTCGTCTTGTACACCTACACGAAGTCAGGCCGACCTCATTACATTATCTACATGTGGCAGGTAAATAAAAAATAATAATTCCACAGTTGGTGATTGTTGGGTAACCTCAATGGTAGAAGGTGATTCGCTAGTCTCCTATTTTTTAGATGGTTACCAATCTTGGGATCAGCTTAAACCTCAAATCACAGGACCCGAGGCACTGGTAGAATCAAATCGGCTAATTCCTGATACCAAGTCACAGAATTATCTTCTCCTTGCCAAAATATATCCATGTTTTTTTCTCTACTCATAAAATCATGCCTGGCTTGAATGAACAATGCAAGATAAAGCTTTCCGTTCTCTTTTGAAATCCCACAATTTGTGTGTGTGTGTGTGTTATATGGACATTTGGGAGGAGATTGAGAATAAACAAAATAAAATTTAACCCATGGAGTCCAGGACCACAAGATATGGCTAGTGACTGGGTGAGAATTAATATATTCATGACAGACAGGTCTATTGAGGTCTATGAGTGTTGAAGACTCCATAATACCACCTAATTACATCCTGCCTCCAGATGCCAGATGTAGAGGAACACGAATGGGAAGGAAGGAGATGTCCATTTTCATTTCCTATCCAGGCCATGGTTGTCCCAAAGGTGTTGAAGAGGTTTCTGATGAAGCTTCTTGGATGAGAAGCGAAACATCTTCAAGGAAAAACACTTTTGAGACAACCATGACCTGGGTGATTGAGAATCTCCATAGACATGTTGGACTAGGAATGACTTGGTTTTATCTAGTCAGGCTATCCTTAAGTTCTTATTGGAAAGAGTTTTAGAAGAGGCAAAATAAAATACAGATAGTCCTCAATTTCTACCACAATTGGGACCGTATTATGTTGCTGAGTGATGTGGTTGGTAAAGCAAATCATCGTGTGACCCAACTCAATTTTACTCAAATCACTAGAGTCATTGAGCAAATTGCACAATTGATAAGCAAATCTGGCTTTTCCTATTGACTTTGCTTGTTGGAAGCCAGCTGTGGAGGTCACAAGCCATAATCACATCATAAATGTGAGCCAATTGCCAACTGCCCAAATCATGATCACAGGTGCAAAAAAACAGAGCGACACATTCAGTTCCAATTAAACTGATTTATTCCGCAGGCCTGTGCATCGGAATCTAGTCAGCTAAGATTAGTACTATTTTAGCACTAAATAAGGGTTGATGGAATTCAAAAGGGATTGGATTTGGTCCGTGTGTTCCAGTGTAGAGATTCTAGGCTGTCTCTTTTGACTCCATCCACAATGCTCCTCTTAGGTGACCATCAGGTGACCTTCAAGCTATAGTTTTGAAGATGGGTTGTAAATCATTTTTTCACTGCTATTGTACCTGCAAATAGTCATTAAATAAATGATCCTAAGCTGTACTTCTTTACACAGCACATCATGAACCTGTAGACCTTGAGCTGTTTTGATGGCCCCTAATGGGGTGACTTTAAAGGATAATCAGGTGAATTTGGAGGTCAGGTCTATGAGTTTTGAAGAGTTTGAGTTATCTCCAGTTTGGGGGACTGTGTTAAAGAGGACCAATAGGGGAAATGAAGGAGGTCTTCAAAGGTCTTCCTTGGTTTGATGGACCAAAGACCTTCTCTTTGGGAGCAACCAAGCAACACCTAATGGAAAAACAAAATGCTGGTCAATAATGGACCTCGGCCTGATCCAGCAGAGCTATTTTTCTCTTCTTGGATTCCTGACCGTCCTCCTACTTTGGACGGTTAATCCTTTTTTGCTCCTTCTTTGGATCTTGGAAAAGAGAGCTCCATTTTCGTCTCTTCCTCCCTAGGGTCGCCATGCATCAGTGGACGAAATTACAGCTTGTGCTATCAATGCTGTGGAGCTGGACAAGAAATATGGGGATGAGCCTGTCCAGGTTCGAGTGACAATGGGGAAGGAACCCCGGCATTTCCTCGCTATCTTCAAGGGAAATTTGATCATTTATGAGGTACAAACGGCCTTTGAAAGACCTTCATGTTATAGAAGATGAGTCTTTCCTTGCTCCTCTTTTCAACTCAGGTGGAACATCTGGATGGCTATCCTGGCATTACGCAGATGCTGATTTGTTTTTGTGAAAGGGGTGATTAACCTTGTTTATTTTATCGAATAGGAAGAAATAGCTTATTAAATGTTGGTGATACCAGTGCTCCTCAACCTTGTGCCTTGAAACTATGCAGATATTGATCAGAATGGTCCCTCTTATGGATTTCCTATTTCCTGTGGGGTAGAATTCATCCCAGGAATGGGAAACTATGGCCCTTTTATGCCTTGTGGACTTCAACTCCCATGGCTGGCTCAGGAATTCTGGAAGTTGAAGTCCGCAAGTCATAAAAAGGCCATAGTTCCCCATCTACTACAATCCCATTGTCGGGATTCCAGCAGGATTCCATCTCCCTGGGAGAAAAACATCCCACAGCATGATGGCGAACCGATGGCACACATGGCACAGGTGGCACACGGAGCCATTTGTGTGGGCATGCGAGCCCCAGCCAAACTTACCTGCACTGCGCATGCGCATGTTTCCCAGCTGATTTTCAGCTCGTTTGAGGCTGTTTTCACCCTCCTGGAGTCTTGAGGAAAGCCTCTGCAGCTTCGGGAGGCCGAAAAACAGGACTTCTGGAAATATCGGAAGTGCCCAAACGACCCTGTTTTCAGCCTCCTGAGGCTCCAGAGTGTCTGGGAGGGTGAAAACGGCCTCACAGGCTGAAAAATCAGTTGGGAGGCCTGCGCATGCACAGTGCAAGTAAGGGTATGTGTGTTGCTCGTGCATGCACAGGGCGGCAGGGCACATTGCATTGTGGATGCCGCGCACATGTTTTCAGCACACCACAACAAGATGGTTTGCCATCACTGTCCTACAGCATCCATCTCTTCAGGGTTTATAATGTTTGGTGCTGGGTCCCCATTTTTATTTATTTATTTAATATTATTTATTTATTTATTCACCAATTGGCTGTTCTAGGGAGGCATCCATCATGGTCAGAAGACGGAACCTGAACCAGATGTCCAGCTCTTCCAAGTGAGAGGTACCGATGAATTCAACACCAAAACGATCGAGGTCCCCGCCCGAGCCTCTTCTCTCAATTCCAATGATGTCTTCCTTCTCAAGACCAACCAAGTGTGTTACCTGTGGTGTGGAAAGGTAAATGAATTAAGAGTTCTACACCTGTATTCCCTCGAGATACCTTTTTTTCCCCCTGTGGACAGATTAAAAAGAAAAAAGAATTCCTCTTTTTTTGAGAATGATACTAGTTCCAGCAGGCTGCGTATCTATCAAACCTATAATTATTAAAGTTGACAAGGCTGTGGGTTAGTTGATCTCATTACTGGATCTTGTTTGGCTTCCAGTAATTATGAAGATATTTGTACCTGCCCCGTTGCAAAACATTAAAAATAAACCACGTGTGTGGCTATGGAAAATTAGTTTTTCATGATATCTGACTTGTAACCAGCAAAGCATGATCTTGAAGCTTGCAAGAGACAGTCTGTGAAGGCACTGGAAGTCCTTGATTTACAGCAGTTCATTTAATTACAATGGCACTGAAAGAAAGTGACTTACGGCTGGTTTTTACCCTTATGACCACTGTAGCAACTGGATCAAAATCCAGACACTTGTCAATTGACTCGTATTTATGACAGTTGCCGTTTCTGACAAGCCAATAGGGGGAAGCCAGATTCGCTTAAGAACCATGTTACTAGCTTCACAACTGTAATGATTCACTTAACAACTGTGGCAAGAAAGGTTATAAAATGGGGAAAATTCACTTAATCATTGTTCTGACTTAGCCACAGAAATTTTGGGTTCAATTGTAATTGTAATTAGTTGCGGGGGTGTGTGGTTTTGTGCACTGCTTGCTTCCACAGTTCCTCCCAGCCCTGGAGTTGGGGACTCCTGAAATATAAGATAGTGCTGAATGGGTTGATGATGTAAATTGGTAGATAATTTGTCATGTATGAATTTTTATCTTTCTTGCATGGGGGAAGAGCAGTATGAATTTTTGAAAGCTACTTTAAGGCATGTTTAGAAGGTAAGCTACAGTTTTCCCTGTAAGCTGTCTCAACGGGGTAAGAAACTTTGTGTTGGGAGACTTATCCTTCTGGATTCAGTTCCAAGTGGGGGAAAAAGACACTGGAAACATGGAGGCTGTTTGGAAAGATGGTTTCATGGTGGACAGGAGGACCACATGGCCTGGAGCTCCGAAGAAGGAAGGCCAAGAAGAAGGAAGGGCTGAGATGCTGAAAGTTCCTGGGTTTTATACCCTCTGTTGGGCTTTGAGTTTGAGCTCGTTATCCGACTCCCGTGGGGCCATGCGGAGGCAACGCTGTAGGCTGTCCTGAGTGCCAGGCTTGGTTGAGCCTTGCTGGAGGATCATGTAATGAAAGGGCTTTGGGCTATAATTCCTATTATAACTCTACCTGGAGTAGATCTTTGTTATGTAAAATAGAGTTGGCCTAGGTCAGAGTAATGGCCCATCAGCAAAGATGGTGTGGGAGCTATGTTTCTGCTTCTGAGGTGAGTTTCTTCTTCTGAGTTTCTACTTTGTTTAGGGGAAATATTCTGCCTTTTTAATATTTCCTAGGATATTTCATTTTCCAAGGAGAGGAGGGGGGGTGATCCTTCCTACATAAGCCACTCGTGTCCTTTGTTGTTGTTGTTGTTGTTGAATGCATGTGTCAAATCCTCTATCTGGAAACAAGTCGGTTTGATTTTTTTTGGGTTCCCGCATTTCCTGAGTCCTTTATACCGAGTATGATCTAGCAGGTCCTTCTTTGATGTTCTTTCTAACTCTCTTGTATTAATGGGGGAGCTAGCTAAACATTTAGACATTACCAGGAGAATGCCCATCCGTTCTTCTGTAATGTTTTGCGAGTGTCTGATCGCATTTTCGGGACCAGAGAGCTACAGGAAGTATAAGGCACTGGGAGTGGCTTCGGAAGGATGGTGGTCCACTTGCCCTAAAGGATTATGGGCTCTAGGAAGAAGGTGCAGTGACTGAATCCACCTTGACCTGGGTTTTCTGTTTAGGGATGCAGTGGAGATGAGCGAGAAATGGCAAAGACCGTGGCCGATGTCATCTCCAAGTGGGACAAACAGACGGTTCTGGAGGGGCAGGAACCGGCTGAATTTTGGTTTGCCCTTGGAGGCAAAGCACCCTACGCCAGTGGCAAGAGGTAAGATCGACTGGGCTTGCTACATCATATTCCCTCCTCCTCCTCCTCTTCCTCCTCCTCCTCCTCCTCCTCCTCTTCTCCATGAATCCCACACCCTTCTGGCCACAGGTGGGATTCAAACAGTTTTGGGGAGGCCCATGTTTCATCTTCCCCGAGCCTCTGCAAAGGCCCTGTACCTATCTAGGATCCAAAATGCGCCCTGTGGGGACTCCGGGGAGGGTCGGAGCTAGCCAGTCGTCGGAACTACCAGTTTGCCAAACCAGATGTAAAATGAACCTCCAGTTCACGTGAACTGGTCTGAACCGGCTGAATCCCACCCCTGCTTCTAGCATTGATGACGTTATCAGTTTAGTGAAACATCTGCCAGAAAACCACTCAGCTCCAAAAGCACCAAGAACTTCACAGTTGTTGTTGTCCCCTCCTCCTCCTCCTCCTCTTCCTCCTGACCTTCTGGCTGTGGAAGCCTTGAGACATTGTACATAGTTGTCTCAGCACACTCATGGAGAAAATACAAATAGTCCTCAACTTAAACCATTCAAAGTTACACTACCACTGGAAAAAAGTGATTTATGACTGGTCCTCACACTTACGATGATTGCAGCATCCCCGTGCTCACATGATCAAAATTGGGGGCCTTGCAACCAGGATGTATTTATTACAGTTTCAGTGTCCCAGGGTCATGTAATCACTTTTTGGGACATTCCCAACCAGTTTCTGACAAACGTTCAATGGGGAAGCTGGGTTTGCTTAACGACCATATGATTCACTTAACAATTGCAGTGATTTGCTTAACAACTGTGGCAAAAAAAAAAAAAGATATGAATCTGTTGTGGCTCCGGGCTTGGATTCAGCTCCTGTGACTGATATGAGTTCAAGTGAGGAGGACATGGGAGAAAAATATGAGCCGGCATGGCTCAGTGATTGGACTAGTAACCAGGATGAGGAGATGAATGTGACAAAGGAAGACAGACCTGATGTATTAGAATTGTCAGGACCTTTGACCTCCTCTGGTTCCTTATCTGATCAACAGCCGGGAATGGCCGACAGGGAAGTTTTGAGAGAGTCTTCTAGTGGAGATGAGAACTTGGAAAATTTGTGGTTAAATGTAAGGAACAGAAGACGTTTGAGAAGGCAAACTCAGCTGGAACGAAGGAGGAGGGCGAGTCAGTAAATTAGCACGTTGCCTCAATGAGTATAAAAGGACACAGCTGGGCTGGTACAATTTGCCAGGAACAAAGTGACTTATTGAGTGAGGACGTTACAGCAAGAAGCTCTGAGACTGGAGATTTATTGCCAGGACTGGTTTGCCGGACAGAGTGAAGATTTATGCTGTGGATTGAGATTTCTGCCAGCCGTTATCTTGTAAGACTTCTTTCCGTTTGATTTAATTTTGAAACGGCTGCTTTCTGTTTTGTTCGTTTGAATTTTGAAGGGGAGTCATAACATGAATCACTTAACAACCATCTTGCTTAGTAATGGAAATTCTGGTCCTGATTGTACAATATATTTTTTTTGGAAGCTCCAAGGAATAAATCTGTATCATTAAAAAATATTTTAAAGATGTTGGGAGAAATATCCATCTGGTTCAGTTCCAAGCTGGGCGAAAGGCACTGGAAACATGGAGGCTGATTGGAAAGGTGGTTTAATGATGTAGCAGAACCACCTTGGTGGTCCTGGGCAGCTGGCCACATGGAGTTGAGAGTGGTGGTGGTGGTGTTATGCCTTCTCTTGGGGTTTGAACGTGAGCTTCCTGTTCCTGTGCAAGAGCATGTGTTCTATTGGCTGTTGTCAGACTCCCATGGGGCCATGTGCAAATCCTAGGAGTTTGTCTGATCTAAGCTTGTTTGAAGTTTGCTGGGGGTGGTGCAACTGAGATGATACAATGAAGGGGCTTTGGGCAATTCCTATTGTGGCTGAGGGCTAATCCTACCTTTGTTGGATCTTGAGTGACGGCATTTGCTTATGAATAGAGCTATCTCTTTCTTTATCTCTTAAATGCTGACATCTGCTGTGGGCTATTAAGGAAGGTGGGGGCTTGTTTTCCAAGAGTGAGTTTCTCCATTTCTCATGCAGGGAAAAATAATATTCTGCCTTTTCAATATTTCTTGAAATATTTCATTCTTCTAAGAGAGGAGTGGACGCTAACTTTCTACAAAGGGAATCTCTGTGATGAGCATTGTTAATCAGGGAATCAAGAATGTGACTTCCTTCCTTTTCCTTTTTTAATTTATTTTATTTTAATTATAAGAATACAACATGATGCAGCCTTTCTGGTGCTACAATACATATATAAATGTTATTTCACCATTTACAATCCCGTTGTTTCATACATTGTTTATTATTCTAATCATCCTAGCTACTTATGTTTCGCCCTTGCTTTCTTCTATGCAACCACTGATAGAATTTATTCCACGTTTCATAGCACTCAGATTTCCCCTTGTTTTTTAATTCTAGGGTTAATCTGTCCAATTCCGCACAGGCCATAATTTTCCTTATTATCTGTTTCTGGCGGTATGCTCTCCTTCTTCCAGTATTGCACATATATTATTTTAGCCACCGTCAACACATGTAGTATTAGATAAATTAAATCCTTCCTATATCCTTCTGGTATTATCCCTAGAAGAAAAAATCCCGGCTTAAATGGAATACACTCTCCCACCATTTGTTCCACCCATGCCTGGATCAATCTCCAATACTTTTTTTTTTTTTTGCAGCATTGCAGGGTCACCACATGTGAAAAAATGTGCCTGATACATCATTGCACTTACAACAGTTTGGAGATAGACTTTTGAACATTTTGGAAAGGCTTGCTGGCGGAAGATCCTTCCTTTTCTTGTATGAGAAAAGTAAAAACCTTAAGAAAGTTCAAAACATTCTCAAAGATCCATCTCATCCTGGGCACCCTTTTTTTGAACTATTACCATCTGGCAGATGGTACAGGATAATAAAAACAAGGACAAATAGGCTGAAAAACAGCTTCTATGCCAGGGCAGTAGCTCTGTTGAATTCTGCTGTATAGTGCAGTGTGTAGTCAGGGTTTTCAATTCAGTGTGTGGAGTGTGAAGGATGTGTTTATTTTCATGGTCATGATGTGCACTGAAGATGGCGTTTGATTTCGTTGTATGAGGTGCAATGACAAAAAAGTAAACTAAATTAAAATTTCTTTCATTCCCTCATCCCTTCCTGAACCTTCTTCCTCCCTCCCTATTCCCTCCCTCCTGTCCTTCCTTCCTTCCTTCCTTCCTTTCTTCCTTCCTTCCTCCCTCCCTCCCTCGCTCCTCCCTCCTTGTTTTCTTTCCTTTCAAGGACAAATAGGCTGAAAAACAGTTTCTATCCCAGGACAGTAGCTCTGTTGAATTCTACTGTATAATGCAATATTAATGCAGTATCAGGGGTTTCCAATTCAATGTGTGGAGTGTGAAGGATATGTGTGTTTCTGTTTATTTTCGTGGTCTTGATGTGCACTGAAGATGGCGTTTGATTTCGTTGTATGAGATGCAATGACAATAAAGTAAGAATCTGTGCTAATACAGAATATGGAAATAAATTTGCTTCCCTTGTCTCTTTTCTCCTTCCCAATCTTGCGATGTGAAAGATTCCAGGAACAAGTTCCTCACTATCAGGCTCGCTTGTTCGAATGCTCCAACCAGACTGGGCGATTCATTATGACTGAAATAGTGGATTTTGGCCAGGATGACCTGGACGAAGAAGATGTCATGTTGCTGGACACCTGGGAAGAGGTCAGTATGAGATGTATGACCTTGACCACGTTGTCCCTTACAAGCATGCAAGCTTTTCAGTACAAACTCAATTTGCAAATCCCAGGATTAAAAGAATGGCTGACTTGCATAAACCAGCAAAGATTCCACGATTCATATTCCTTGACTTACAGCCGTTCGTTTGGCGATCGTTCGAAGTTACAACTGTGCTGAAAAAGGTGACTTATGAACATTTTTCACACTTAACAACTGTTGCATATATCCTGTGTCAAGCAATCTACGTTCAGGTGCTTGGCAATCAGTCTCTTTTATGACAGCCGCAGAGTCCCTGGGTCATGGGATCATTTTTGGTGATCGTCTGACAAGTAAAGTCAATGGGGAAGCCAGATTCGTTTAACAACCGCGTTACTTATTTAACCAGGGCAGGGATTCGCTTAACAACTGTGGCAAGAAAGGTCGCAAAATGAGGCAGAACTCAGCTAACAACTGTCTTGCTTAGCAAAGGAAATTTTAGAATTGATTACGATCCTACGCTGAGGAACCCTTGCACTTCAAGCATTAACAAGGATTAAATATAATTGTTTTCCAGATTGGATATTAGGACTACAACCCCCATAAATCTTAGCCAGAAGGCTAGGGATCTGAACTCCAATTAAGGGATCAGGAGTTGAGCTTATAAAAGTCTTAACCAGATCTACATATACACAAGCGAAATACCACTCACGCACTATCACAAAATTTCCAGAACTGTAAAGCTTACAAACTTGAAACTTGACCTGTATGTTCCTCTTGGCTTCTAGGTGCTAACTAAGAAAGGATTTTTCGAAATGACTATCAGAGCCTTAGTGTTTCCTATGTTATTATTAACATGCTCTGATGCTAAGGAGTTCTACTCCCCCTCCCCACCTGAAAGGAAATCTCTTCCAAATGCAAAACACAAGCAGAAGAGAGGAGTTTTGGTTTCAGTTTCACAGCACCAAGCAGCTGTAGTACAGAACAGTTGAGCTAAGGCCTGCCCAGGCTCCTTGCTGTCTCCTTCTTGCTCATACAGCAAATACTGGTTCAGTTTCCAAGCAGCCCTTAACTCTCTCACATACTGACAGGACGCTAGCCAGATTAATACTGATGGATGCTGATAGACAGAGGCAGAATTTTCCCCCCTTACTTTCCTCCCCAAAAACTAAGCCCAATCACATAGTTTCATAGTGAAGCATGGGTATCAAGCTAGTATAACTATATATATATAACTATATATATATATATATATATATATAAGTTGCTGAGACAAGAAGGTTTGCTGTGTCTGTCAGCGTAATGTCCAGAGCATGGAGGCGCTATCAGGCCAGTAGACAGGCCAGTACATCAGGAGACATAGAGGAGGCCGTAGAAGGGCAACAACCCAGCATCAGGACCGCTACCTCCGCCTTTGTGCAAGGAGGGACAGGAGGAGCACTGCCAAAGCCCTGCAAAATGACCTCCAGCGGGCCACAAATGTTCATGTGGCTGCTCAAACGGTCAGAAACAGACTCCATGAGGGTGGTATGAGGGCCTGAAGTCCACAGGTGGGGGTTGTGCTTACAGCCCAACACCGTGCAGGACGTTTGGCATTTGCCAGAGAACACCCAGATTGGCAAATTTGCCACTGGCACCCTGTGCTCTTCACAGATGAAAGCAGGTTCAAACTGAGCACATGTGACAGATGTGACGGGGTCTGGAGATGCCGTGGAGAACGTTCTGCTGCCTGCAACATCCTCCAGCATGATCAGTTTGGCAGTAAGTCAGTAATGGTGTGGGGTGGCATTTCTTTAGGGGGCCACACAGCCCTCCATGTGCTCGCCAGAGGCAGCCTGACTGCCATTAGGTACTGAGATGAGATCCTCAGATCCCTTGTGAGACCATATGCTGGTGCGGTTGGCCCTAGGTTCCTCCTAATGCATGACAATGCTAGACCTCATGTGGCTGGTGTGTGTCAGCAGTTCCTGCAAGATGCATTGATGCTATGGACTGGCCCGCCCATTCCTCAGACCAGAATCCAAATGAGCACATCTGGGACATCATGTCTCGCTCCATCCACCAACGCCACGTTGCACCACAGACTGTCCAGGAGTTGGGGGATGCTTTAGTCCAGGTATGGGAGGAGATCCCTCAGGAGACCACCCGCCACCTCATCAGGAGCATGCCCAGGCATTGTAGGGAGGTCATACAGGCACGTGGAGGCCACACACACTACTGAGCCTCATTCTGACTTGTTTTAAGGACATCAAAGTTGGATCAGTCTGTAGTGTTTTTTCCCACTTTAATTTTGAGTGTGACTCCAAATCCAGACCTCCATGGGTTGCTAAATTTGATTTCCATTGATAATTTTTGTGTGATTTTGTTTTCAGCACATTCAACTATGTAATGAACGAAGTATTTAATGAGAATATTTCATTCATTCAGCTCTAGGATGTCTTATTTTTGTGTTCCCTTTATTTTTATGAGCAGTGTATAACTATATAACTATGACTAACTATAACTAACTATAACTATATAGCTGCCTTCTCCCTATATATACTGGTGGGAAGGTTGGCTGTGTTGTCATTTCTTGATTGGTTGATGTTGATTGGTTTGTTAGAAATGACAACACAGCCAACCTCCCCATCAGTATATATAGGGAGATGGCAGCTCCGATCACGCTTTGCTCGCGCAAGCATAAAGTTGAAAGCACCAGCCTGAAGATGGCGAGTGGGACCTCATCGAAACGTTGCCAAGATGCTCTCAAACGTATAATATAATATAGGTATAATATAGATATGGATATATGGATAAAGATAGATAGATAGATATAGATATAGATATATAATCTATATCTATATCTATCTATCTTTATCCATATCTATCTATCTATCTATCTCTACAGTATATCTATCTCTCTCTCTCTCTCTCTCTCTCTCTCTCCAGTATATCTATATCTATCTATCTATCTATGTCTACAGTATATCTATATCTGTCTGTCTATCTCTCTCTCTCTCTCTCTCTCTCTACAGTATATCTATCTATCTATCTATCTATCTATCTATCTATCTCTACAGTATATCCATATCTGTCTGTCTGTCTGTCTATCTATCTATCTATCTATCTATCTATCTATCTATCTATCTACAGTATATCTATATCCATTTAGCTATCTATCTCTATCTATCTATCTATCTATCTATCTATCTATCTATCTATCTATCTCTACAGTATATCTAAATCTATCTATCTATCTATCTATCTATCTATCTACAGTATATCTATATCCATTTAGCTATCTATCTTTATCTATCTATCTATCTATCTATCTATCTATCTATCTATCTATCTATCTATCTATCTATCTCTACAGTATATCCATATCTGTCTGTCTGTCTGTCTATCTATCTATCTATCTATCTATCTATCT